AGTTGCTCGCTGTTCCATGTCGTTCAGAATTCGCTGAATAAAATACAGCATTTCTGGGCATGACTTCAACTGCCAACAAACGCACTTCGTTATGCATCAAAGCTACTGAGTTCAATTCCGCCGCCAAAAAACAGTGGGGTGCCTGAGTCGAAAATTAATGTGAGCTTAAGAAGCATGTTCAAAAAAATTACTGTACAAAACAATATATGAAATCATACATATCCAGATTCATAAAATCAAGCAATGAAGAAGTGTCCTTGAAACTGATCAATAACAAGTTACGCAGTGCATGATGCACTGAAGATTCTTGTCCGAAAAAAAACTTTTGTTTGACTAGTTTAGAGCCATTAGCATATTTTACGTTTTCCGATGTTTTTTTTTCCAGCGTTCCAATGGTGCTTCTTTTTATGATTTTTTGATATAACAGTGGTGCAAAATGCATACTGCCGGGATCCTCTCTCTCTCTGTTTTGTTCAAATTTCTCAAATCAGCAACAAGAAGAAATAGGAAACCGAACTTTTAGGATGGTGTGCTCTAAACATGAAAATTAAAGCATTTTTTATCAAACAAATCGTGGCAATGGCCTATAACACAGTTACTATCTTTTTTTGTTGTTCTTGCGCCTGAGTGAAATTGAAAATTGAAAGGAAGTTGCAGTTCTTCGAAATGACATCCTTTCAGAAAAGAAAAATATCCGGACGAAAAAAAATATTTGATACAGCAATCATTTGCTGTCTGAAGCAATCTAATGCTCTGATACAGACATCCTAGCTTCGTTTGCGAAAGACAATGGCCCGGAAATAGTCGATAGGATTTCGTCAAAATTTGCATTTTTGCATGTTTTGTTTGGCCCTGAAGGTTGTTAAACTACGATTTATCCTGATATGCATAATTAAGGAAAATGGTTTGGTGCAATTTACGAGGTCATGCAGCTCTAACACTTTGTTCAGTAACTGTTATCAGTGTGCTGTTAACGAAAGAATGATTTTGTTTATCAGAAAGACAGCTGCTGTCATAATGCGTATTGCCACTGATTTCAGTGATCAGTATCAGCATAAGAGTGATAAGTTTTGAGGTTTTCGAATCCCTTAGAGTTCTTCTTCATTAAATTACCAAAATGAGTTGTCAGCTACAACTCAACTTTTTTCAGTGCTTTTCCCCAAACATTTTATTTTTTTCATTCATTTTCCATGGCAAATTTAAGCCCTTGGTCCATTTTCTACCTTTTCTTGCACTTACGTTTTATTCAGCTCATTTCTCATACTGTTTTGCGAAATGATATACATACAATTACACCTGTGCCAGTTGCAGAAATAAGACTACCATCGCTAATGAGCGGTTTAAGTGCCCGTAGCCAAAAAAAAGTGATTTACCGGTTTCTTGGCAGTTGCAACAGTGGCAAGAAATTGATGTAAGTGAGTTATTTTTGGTCCTAACTGCCCTAATACATAGCAAAAAACTACTTTGTTTCGAAAGTGTCACATTTTGCGCAAAATGGTTCTAAACCGAATGCGTGTACTTCCACTCCTTCCGCAATCTCAAAAAAAAAAAAAAAATGCCACAATCATAATCCTAGAATTTCAAGGTTT